CTTCGATCGCCGCCGCGTATCCGAAGCCTCTCTGCCTTGCAATTGCTCGCACCATGATTGACGCAGCCGAATATTTAAGAACTTCTTTGTTGTGGAGCAGGTTCAAACCTTGAGTTTCCTTGTTTCATTGCTTGAGTTTGTTTTCGGCCTGCCGGCCAGGTTTACCATTCGGGTTTGGGAATCCCCGAGCGCGTCTGGTGGCCTACGCCTTCGCCCTACCGATCGAAGGTTATCGCCTTGGCTCCAGACACGATAAAACAGTGTGCTGGCGATCTTGGGATTCTGCGGGCTAAATCTCTGGCCGCTTTTAACAAGCAGAAGTGATGTGCAAGCAGCTTCAGGATCGCCGCATCGACGTCCCGTCGACGTGCTGCTCAAGTCTCCCTCCCACCCTTTTCTGCCTTTTTTCGCCTTTCTGTTTTTCCATGAGTATTCCCTCGCTCGACAGCCTGCCTGCTGTCTGCCGAGTCCTCTTTGAATATGCATTCACGAGCCTCTGCTTCGGGAATCTCCGAGCGCGTCTGGTGGCCTACGCCTTCGCCCTACCGGTCGAAGGTTATCGCCTTGGCTCCAGACACGGTAAAACAGCGTGCTGGCGATCTTGGGATTCTGCGGGCTAAATCTCTGCAAATAGAAAACGAATCCACTACGAATGCAATACGAACGCAATACACATACAACACACATACAAAACAAACACATTACACTTATACTACACATACAACTGAAAGTCGAATACACAACAAATGGCATAGTGCTCCTTCCCGCACGCAGCTGACGTTTAGAATTGCCCCGTCCCGAAAGGAACCGCTACACTCCGTGGTGCGACACTACTACAAACCCTATTGAACCTGCCGTACGCAGGTAACGGTACAACCAAGGCCCCCCACGAAGAATCCTCAAGATTTCGGCAATCGCAGCGCTCGTTGAGGAATCCCTACGGGTCCTCAAGATCTTGCGGGTCCCGTTTCAGGATTGTTCAAGATGCGTCAGGCTTCGTCGGGATTCTTCATTCAGGTTTACCCAGATTCTCCATTGATCCCATAAGATTCCACAGACTCCTTCAGGACTCCGCAGATTGACTCGGGATTCCGCGGGATCTTCGGGGGTTGTTCACGATTCCCGTTGCTTCCTTAACAGGATTCGCCAGGATTCCCCCCCATCTTCTGACGATTCATCAGATTCCGTTCATGATCCTTTCGGCCCCTTCCGCAGTCAAGGCTCCTCGGAATCCCCCCGGGTTCCCGTTGGACACCGGCGGATTCTTGAAGGGCTCTTCAGGACGCCCCAGGGATTTCAAACATTTTCCGAGGAGCCCGCAGACGCCTGATGGGTTCCAAGAAAGTCAATCGCGTTCCTGGAGAATCCATTGTGGTTCGTCATACTTATGTTGCATTTCGCGTATCCGCGGGACTTTTCCAGGAACCCTCAAGGGATCCAAAGGAGTTTTCGGAATGTCCGAAAGTCCGGATGAATGTCAAACACATTCTGAAGAACATGTGCAATCCTGAGGAACCCGCTGGAACCTAGAGAAACCCTGAGGAACCTAGAGGAACCTGGAGAAATCCTGAGGAACCCTCGGGACTTTTAGAGCAGCCAGAGGAATCCTAGGGCATCCTGACGAATCGGGAGAAATCCCGATGAAATTTGCGCAGTCCTACAGGATCTTGAGGACCCTTCGGGAACCCTGAGAAATCCTGAGGAACCCGAGGAGATCCTGAGAAACCCTCGGGCACTCTGAAAAATCCAAAGGAACCCAGAGGAACCCTGAGGAGCCCTTTGGAAGCCGAGCGGATCCCGAGACATCATGAGGGACACCCCCTCGTACCCGCGACGCGAAGCGTCGCGGAGAATGGGAAGCCCATTGGGTCGCAGCCTGGGCCCCCCGAGGAACATTGAGGAATCCGAAGTGATCCTGCGGGAACATAAGGCTTCAGGGAGTCTTCCGGAATCTTGGGGAATCTTGATGCACCTTGTGGAATTCCTTAAGAACATGTACGGAGATCACCTTATTTTTTTCCCAGGCAAACAAGCAGGGGAGAAGGAGAAGGAGGGATCCGCTGCCCCTCAGGAGGGCTATCAAGACACCGCACCCGACCAAAGACGATCACAGAACACAGAAGGCAAAAACCTTCAATGCCCCCGGCCACGGGTAACACTTTCGAAGCCCCCGCACAAGTAGCAGGGCTGTCCTGCGAACGTGGCCGAAATTCGGCCGCAAACTCGCGCAGGAAGGGGGAAGGAGGAGGAAGAGGAGTCAGGACTGCAAAAAAAAAAACGGAGAACACCTTATTCGATGTTATTCCGAATTCTTTCGGATTTGCAAAGATGCACGAAGAATTCAAAAGGTCCTTCGGGGAGTCCGAACGAGCTCCTGCAGAGCAAGATGATGAACGCCGCGGCTGGATCAGAGAGCCAAAAACGTTCAACCCCAGCTGCGAGTGCATGATGGCGGCGGGGTAGGCTGAAACGCGGTTAGGGGTGTGGCTCGAGCGCGCCGCGCTTTCGGCGCGGCGCAATGGCAAGGGGCGCACCCCAGGTTGCACTCGCATCTGGGGTCGAACGTTTTTCCCCCCCGACTGGATCGCTGCCCCGAGCCCAACAAGAAAACTGAACCAGAGACGTGACGTTTAGAATTTTCAGTTGCCCGTATTGCAGCCTGCTCTTCCTATTGCAGCCTATTGTATACACATAGCCTGGAGGTAACGTTTTACCCCACAACCCAGGTGATTATGTTTCCTAGTAGTAATAATATTCGGAGGAGTAGGAGGACGACGACAACCAGGTGGAGCAGTAGGAGGAGGAGGCGGAGTAGCAGCAGGCAGCAGGCAGCATGCAGCAGCAGCAGCAGCAGCAGCAGCAGCAGCAGCAGCAGCAGCTGGGGCCCCGTGAGACATCCGAGCGCCGGGTCGTCGTCCCAGCAGCCGCGCCGCCGCGGAGCGCTTCCCGAGGGCCCTCAAGGTCGCCTGTGCCCGCGCATTTGCGGCCCATGAGATTCGACCGGCTTGCCCACACGAGGACGAGGAGGAGGAGGAGGCAGAGGAGGAGGAGGAGGAGGAGGAGGAGGAGGAGGAGGAGGAGGAGGAGGAGGAGGAGGAGGAGGAGGAGGAGTGGCCGTTCGAGCATCGTAGCCGACGATAGGGGCGAATAGCCTAGGGGCGGGCACTGCACGTAGTCCTCCGGGAGCCTCGCCGAAGACATGCACCATCGGCGCCCCCTGATACATGTACTGGTCCCCCCTGAGCTATTCGCTCCCACCGTCGCCTCCGAGAGCCCTCCGACGTTCGGCGCCGCCGCCGCTGGCCCCCCCCCCCCCCCTCCCGGTGTCCTGGAATTTGGCGCCAGAGGGGGAGAAGGAGGAGGAGGAGGTCAGGAAGATGGTCAGGAGGAGGGAGGAGGAGGAGGAGGAGGAGGAGGAGGAGGAGGAGGAGGAGGAGGAGGAGGAGGAGGAGGAGAGGAGGAGGAGGAGGAGGAGGAGGGGGGGGGGAAGGAGGAAGACAGGGAGGACATGGAGGAGGAGGAGGAGGACAGGGAGGAGGAGGAGGAGCAGGAGGAGGAGGAGGAGGAAGACAGGGAGGACAGGGAGGAGGAGGAGGAGCAGGAGGAGGAGGAGCCAGAGGGAGCTCAATCGCGTGCCCGTGTGTGATCGGGGCGGGCGACAGGGGGAGACCGAGGAGGGGATGGTTGTGGACAACGGCTGCGAGCAGACGTTCTCGGCCCCTGCCGCCGGGCCGCCTCCTCGATACATTGGCGCCTCTTTCGCTGGGAGGCGCTGGGGAAGCTAGCTAGGCGCGCTGATGCGTCGAACCACCATGCGTTACCCCTCCTTAGGTCCGGCCCGATCGGAGTACTCCTTTCGGGTCCTACCAACAGCCACCCTGGCGGAGGGTCACGCGACCCTTCGCCAGGGTGGCTGTTGGTACGCGGCTTTCAAGGTGCGCGCGGGGCAGGAGGGGGCCAAGGCCAGGCACGCGGGCCGCCACGGCTGCATCGCGTGCAGCGATGTGCGCAGGCCGCGTGCGTCCTGGGTCGCTCTTGCCCAGGGCCACTCCTGCCCCTTGCGTGTCGGCCGAGCTCGATCCGAGGCGGGAATTTATACATGACCACCGCCTGGAGGATCAATTTTCGGGGACCCCGGCGGGCGGTGGATCTGGACAAATTCGGGCCCCCAGGGGCCGATATCCACCGCCCGCTGGGCCACCAGGACGTCGGTTCACAGGCGCCTGGATATGGAGAACTCCCCGCCTCGCGCTCGAGGGCAAGAAGGCGGGTGGTGCAGTCCGCGTCTGCATTGGTATGCTGGGCGCCGCCAGGAGGCGCGTGCACGTGGTGGCGCGGGCCCGGGTCCAAGTGGCAGGATCGCTTACCTGCTACGGCAAACCGTGTCTGTATCCTGCCAAAGCCCTTCGCCGCACGATAGGACGTGCACAGTTGCAGCGACAGAATTGCCCTGTGCATAATGGAGACTCCATCGAACAAAACCCAACGTGAAAATCCAAAGTATAAATTCCAACGTAAGAATCCAAGGGCAGGCCCTGTTCCTCCCGGGCGACCTGCGCTGCGCGGGGGGCAGCGCTGCAGGATTCGCCGCCTCGGCTGCGCGCCGTATCGCGCAGCTGCCGAAGGTGCCCAACTCTATCGGCACCCTGCTAAGACGCCAGCGGCCGCGCCGTTCGCCAGCTGGTAGCTGGTCAACAGAGAACGCGAGGGAGTCTCCGCGGCGGAAGGCCAGCTGGAGCAGTACTTCGGCTCGCATCGAGGGTTTCGGAATCTCGCCGTTGCTTCCCGAGGTCCGCAGGTTGCAGCAGCGCCCTGGGGTGACAGGAGGAGGAGGAAGAGGAGGAGGAGGAGGAAACGGAGGAGAAAAGATGATGGAAGAAAGCGTACGGAGAAAGGTGGAAGGAGGAAGGGGTAAGGAGGAGGCGGGATGGAGGAGGGAGAGCCGATGTGAGCGTCGGTGGGGAGGGGGTTGGTGTCAGAGAGCGGCGGCGAGCGAGCAGGAGAATCTGCCGTTCTGCCCGCGCCTTCGCCTGCACATCTGGGGCAACTACAAGCTGCTCATGAAGGCGCCCCCCCCCCGCGCGCAGGGCGGTGTGGTGCACGCGGGCCCGGAAGGCGAGGCGGCGGACGAGCACAGGAGAGACTTCTGCGCTGCTCCAGGAGCCAGCGGCAGCCACGCGTGCGGACTCCTTCCGGAGTTTCGCGCGGCCGCAGCGGTGGCGGCGTCACCGTCAGCATCGAGCACTGTGACGGACCCACCCCTGTCCGCTCGATGGTTTGCTTGCTCTGGGTCCCTTCAGGCGATCGAAAACATGGATTAAGGGGGCGTGGATTAATGAAGGGTCCCGCTTCCATGGGAAATCGCGGAGTGTCGCCGCCGAGCGAGGCGGCACCGGCCACATTTTGGGAAGGGCACCTCCTCCGATCCATGGATTTGGCGACCGCGAGCCGAATCCATGGTTCGCTAGTCCATGTGTGCGCGCCCCCGATCCCTCGCCTGCTCAGGGGCCCCGGGCCAGTGGTACCTCCTGGGATACAGGCACGGCTCCTTAGCTCAGGCAGGCCTAGGGTGAGGATGTAGCTCCGGAGCGTTCCAGAACGCTCTGGGGCGGCCGCAGCATCCGAGGCCAGGAGGCTGTATACGCATGGCGTGGCGGGCCTGGGCGACAGCAGGTCCTTTCGGCGCTAGGCCTTTTTTGGGGGCCGTGCAGGCCAGGCTCCCGCATGTGTATCCATCAAGTGGTCTTCGGATTTCCACACCCAGGCATGATCGCGTCAGGACGGTAGGTGTTTGGCCAATTTCGGCCTCGGGGGGCTCTCGACGGACCTCGGGAGCGTCAAAAACGACTCAGGACGAAAAGCCAGTCCCGGGAAAGAGTCGGGACTTCCAGGGGCGCCGTCCTGAAAAAAATATGACATCTCATATCTGGGCATGTGACTCCAGCCATGTGAGCTCCCGGCTCCCTGGTACATCTTGCAGACCAGCCGGTCTAAGAGATTCCCCGTTCTCCTGATCCCGATGTGGCCTCGCCCTGCTTTCGCCTTACGGTGGGGGCGTTCGTGAAGGGTTGTGCCCAGGAGGCTTCAGACCCCGGAAGAGTGCTCATCAGATGGCGGCGGCGGTGACATCCATGGCCAATCCGCGATTGGAATTCCACCGGCTTCCAGACCCTGGATTTCCTATCCATTTGTTCCTTATCCAATGGCCTCACTGTATCCTCACCCCGATGTGTCCGGACGGCGCCCCTGGAAGTCCCGACTATTTCTCCGACGCCGGCTTTTCGTCCTGAGTCGTTTTTGACGCTCCCGAGGCCTGGCGAGGCCCCCCCGAGGCCGAAATTGGCCAAAAACCTACCGTCCTGATTTTTTTTGGACGCGATCATGCCTGGGTCCTCGCCCTGAGATTGTCTCACCAGGACTGCCGGTCCCCCACAAGGAGGATTGCCGGCTTACCTCTGCCATCGGCCTGTGCGAAGGGAGGTGCGCGGAGCAGCAGGCTCTCGGAGGCCATCGGGCGGCTTCGCCCGAGGGGGGTGAGCAGGAGGAAAGGGCAGGTGGGAGGGAGGCAGAGGAGGAGCGAAGGTCGCGGTCGTGCCCTCCACATATTCCTTCTTCTGTCTTCTTCTGGCCGTATTGAGCGACTTGTGTTTGATTTGATTGGGTAAGCGTTGGCGGTCCAGGCTGTTACGTGTTACGGCGCGTGGCTAGCCAAGCTCTGCTTTGGAGCATACACGGGTTGGTCTTCAATTCTCTGACCTTTTTCTTGGTGCCTTGAAAACGCACCACAGGACGGCGTTGGCATGGTGATCGGCGGAGCGATGGATAGATGAAAAGAGCAGCGAACGCCGAACTGGCAAAGTTTGCATAGACATAGATGTTCAGGGGTCCGCGCGGATTTCTTGGATCCGCGCTGTTCCCTCCTGTATGGCGCGCGCAGCGCGTCAAGGGCGGCGTTTTTTTCCAAATGCCGTTCTTTATTGTGAAGGCTGCCGCCTCTGCTGCCGACCCCAGAAGAGCTGGCAGTGTTGCGGACAAAGGGCGCCCGTATCCGCATTTGAAAATGAAACGGCGACAGTTCCCCTTGGCGCCAGCCTTTGGGGCGACGGCCCACTCAGCACAAGGCCAGACATTTAAGCAAGGAGTAATCGTCGACCTGAGAATTGGGGGGGGCACGTCGCCGTTGCCCAGTTACGTGGCACTGACGCACGCTCGACGGCGGGAGGATAGTTATGCTGATCTTTCGGCCCTTTGACCGAGCGCCCGAACCTCAGGGGGGACGGAAGGGCCCCGCGCTACTGCTGCAATTCTTGCGAGGAGAGCAGTTGGATTGGGATGCAATCGAGGTGGAGTTCATGACTTCGGGGAGGTGTTCGCTGTGCTCATCAGTGAAGTACAAGAACCAGTATGCTCTTGGGCAGTGGAGTCGCGACGACGGTCTCCGCGTGTGTAGCTTGTGCCTGGAAGGCAAGAACAGCGCAGGCACTCCGTGGCAGAGCATGGAGCGCGGTCTGCGGAAGGGCCAGGATGCCTTCCACGCGTCCCAGCACCACGCGTCGAAGATGACTTCGCGGCGCTGCGTGGACTGCCCCAATGAACGGACATGCCGCGCGTGCGATGTTCGAAGGTGCGAGGGCGCGTTCGCGGCGCATCAGTGGGAAGTGGCAGGGAACAGCCGGCGCAGAGGAGGGATGTGCGCGGAGTGCGAGGAGCTGAAGAAGCACTTGCAGTGTTCCCGCTGCGGCCAGGAGAAGTTGGCGGACGAGTTTGCCAAGGCGGAGAGGAACAGTGACGTGCGCAAGTGCAAGAGGCGTTAGAAATCGGGGAGAGAGGGGGAGAGGCATCGCGCCGAGGAAGACAAATGGGCGGCATGCTCAAAGTGTGGCGAGTCCAACAGGCAGGCAGAGCTTTCCGCTTACATGTTGAGCGACGCCTCCAAAGCGTCGATCACGTGTGCCCAGTGCGTCGACGCGGCAGCTGCAGAGCGGGATGCGGCGGCGATGAAGAATTTGAAAGACTGCGCTGTGCGTGAGGCGCCCCAGCGGCGCGAGTTTTTTTCGGGCCGCATGTGGGGCGACGTGGGCAACCGCGACCGCGAGTGCAAGCGTTGCGTCGACGCTGCAGCTGGACGCCCGAAGGCGCGCGTGGCGTGCGAGGCTGAGCGCGGGTGAGGATGCCGGGAGGCGGCGGGGGCGCGGTGGGGAATATCGGCGGGGTTCGGGCTTGAGATTGTTGGGTGAGAAGGCCCAGAAATTGATTTTTCAATGGGTGAGGGCTCTGGGGCGCGGCGGGGGGCGCCGGTGGGATTCGGGCCAGAATTGTCGGGTAGGGGGGGGGGCAAATATTGATGTCTAAATTCTTGAGGATGCCGGTGCGCGGCGAACGCGGCAGCGGTCTGGGAGGGGCCTCGGGCCAGAAATTGTCGCGCTGGGGGGTCCAAAAATTGAGCTTTCAATGGGCGGGGAGGCCGGGGCGCGGTGGGCGCGCGGCGGGGGGCGTCGGCGGGATTCGCGCCAGAGGTTGTCGCGCGGGGTGGGGGGGGCAAAAATTGCGTTTTCGACGGGTGGAGGCGCCGGGGCCCGGCGGGCGCGCGGCGGGGGGCATCGGTGGGGAGGGCCCAAAAACAAAGCTTACAATATGGGCGAGGGCGCCAGGGCGCGGCGGGGGCGCGGCGCGAGGGGGCATCGCTGTGATTCGGACCAGAAATTACAGCGTGGGGGGGCCCAAGAATTGAGTTTTCAATGGGCGAGGGTGCCGGGGCGCAGCGGGGGCTCTGCGGGTAGGCGGGATTCGGGTTGGGAGCTGTCGCGCGGGGGGGTGCCGCGAATGGAGCTTTCCACGGGCGCGGATGCTGGGGCGCGGTGGGGGCGCGGCGGTGCGTATATCAGTAGGATTCGGGCCAGAAAGCTTCGCGTGGGGGGGGGGGGGGGGGGGGGGGAAAAACAGAGCTTTCAATGGGTGGGGGCGCCGGGGCGCGGCGGGGGCGCGGCGGGCGGCATCGGCGGGGTTCGGGCCAGAAGTTGTCGCGCGGGGGGGCCGAGAGATTGAGCTTTCAATTGGCGAAGATGCCGGGGCGTGGCGGGGGCGCGGCGGGAAGTATCAATGGGATTCGGGCCAGGAAGTGTCGCGTGGAGAGGCCCAGAAACTGAGCTTTCCACGGGCGAGGGTGCCAGGGCGCGGCGGGGGCGCAGCGGGGCGCAGCGGTGTGATTCGGGCCAGAAATTGTCGCGTGGGGGGGGGGGGCGAAAAACCAGGTTCTCGGGGGGCGAGGATGCCGGGGCGCGGCGGGGGGGCGGCGGGGGGACTGAGTTCTCGGTGGGCGAGGGTGCCGGGGCGCAGGGGCGCGGCGGGGGGTGACATAGGGGCGCGGGCCGAACATTTTTGCGCGGGGGGGTTGAAAATTGAGCTTTCGGGGAGTGGGAGTGCCAGGGCGCGGCGGGGGCGCCACGGGAAGTGTCGTCGGGCCAAGAATTGTTGCGTCAGGACCGCAAAATTGAGCTCTCGGAGGGTGGGGATGCCGGGGCGTGGCGGGGGCGCTGCGGGGGGCATCGGCGGGGTTCGGGTTCGAAATTTTCCGGCGGGGGGGCTCCAAAACAGAGCTTTCGGCGGGTGAGGATGCTGGGGCGCGGTTGGGGCACGGCGAAGGGTATCGGTGGGATGCGGGCCAGAAATTGGCGCGTGGGGGGGCCCGAAGACCGAGCTTTCGGCGGGTGGGGATGCCGGGGCGCGGCGGGGGCGCGTCGGGTGATATCGGTGGGATTCGGGCTGGAAATTTTCGCGTGGGGGGGCGAAGCAATGAACTTCCGGCGCGCGAGGACGCTGAGGCGCGGTGGGGGCGCGGCGGAGAGCATCAGTGGGAGTCGGGCCAGGAATTGTCGCGTGGGGGGATTCAAAAACTCAGCTTTCAATGGGTGCGGATGCCAGGGCGTGGTGGGGGCGCGGCGGGGGGTATCAGTGGGAGTCGGGCCGGAAATTGTCGCGTGGTGGGACGAAAACAGGAACTTCCGGCGTGTCCTGGGGCGGATTGCGCAGGGTGGGGGACCCTTGAGAATCGAAGCACAAGGGCTCCAGGAGACTGAGGATGTCAGGCGTGGTGGAGGGGCTCCCGGGGCGGATTTTGCAGGGTGGGGGCCCCCCAAGAATCGAAGGGTGGGGGGTCCGTAGGAATCGAAACACAAGGGCTCCAGGAGACTGAGGATGTCAGGCGTGGTGGAGGCGTGGTGGAGGGGTTCCCGGGGCGGATTTTGCAGGGTGGGGGCCCCCTAAGAATCGAAGGGTGGGGGGGTCCGTAAGAATCGAAGCACAAGGGCTCCAGGAGACTGAGGATGTCAGGCGTGGTGGAGGCGTGGTGGAGGGGTTCCCGGGGCGGATTTTGCAGGGTGGGGGGCCCGTAAGAATCGAATGGTGGGGGGGTCCGTAAGAATCGAAACACAAGGGCTCCAAGAGACTGAGGATGTCAGGCGTGGTGGAGGCATTGTGGAGGGGAATCCCGGGACGGATTTTGCAGGGTGGGGGGCCCCTAAGAATCGAAGGGTGGAGGGGTCCGTAAGAATCGAAGCACAAGGGCCCCAGGAGACTGAGGATGTCAGGCGTGGTGGAGGCGTGGTGGAAGGGAATCCCGGGGCGGATTTTGCAGGGTGGGGGGCCCCTAAGAATCGAAGCACAAAAACGCTTGGAGGTTGGGGATGGCAAGCGTGTTGGAGGAGAGACTCAGGCGGATCCGCTCGAACACGGGCTTTCCCTCACACGCCTCTGGGGTCGGCGGATTTATAGAATCGACGAGGCACCAAGCCAGCTCCCAAACCGCCCAAATGTGCCCACAACTTACAATCGCAGCAGCACGTGTCAAGTTCCGCACACATGTCGGTCCAGGACGGTTACAAAGAGGGCACGAAGCAATCTCCCAGACGACCCAAACTCGCCCACAAGTTACAATCTCAGCCACATGCGTCAAGTTCCATGCAGTTCGGCCCTGGGTGGATTCAGCAGTGGCACCAAGCGGTACGAATTTCGCCAGGTTTCCAGCTATCCAGCCAGCCACAGGTTACGATATCAGTTATGTGGTTCAAGTTCGACGCATGTCGATCCAGGATGGATCCAGAGTTGCTTCGGAGAGCCCCTGGGCAAGTATTCCAGAAGGATGCCAAGACGGCCCGACACGGCCCCCCCAGAGTGCCCCACGACGGCTTGAGAGGGCCCTCCCGGAAGGCCCCAGGACTGCCCAGGTAATCTTCGAAGCGGGCCCCCCAGAGGACGGAACGACCGCTGGAGAGCGCAGAATGACCCGAAGGCCAGGGTCAGGAGCAACGCGAGGTTGGGGGTAGGCTCGTGTGGACAATCTGTCGACCCCCAATCGCCCAGCCATGGCCGAGACAGGGGCCTGATGGCATGCCCCGCCCCGCAGTCGTGCGCACTCGCCATCGGGGGCCTGTGGCCGATCTATCGGCGGTGTATCCCCGCTTCCAGCTCGACGCGCCCCCCCCCCCCTCGAGCGCTGCCCCCCCCCCCCCCCCCAGCGTTCCCCTTCAGAGAGGGAAGGCAGAGGAGGACGGGGGGGGAGGACGAGCAGGAACCAGAGGAGGGAGGACGAGCAGGAGCCCAGAAGAGGGAGGCCCGCGGCAAGCCCCCGCAGTCTTCCCTGTGCGGTTTTCCCCCGCCCGCAACGACGGGGGCAGGGTGCTTTTTGCAGCTGTGGCGTCGCCCCTAGGGGCGGACGTGGAAGCCTCAGCATACCTCCTCGGCCTTTTGGTTGTGATCAGGTGCAGTATATGTTCTCATCAGTGTGACAATTGATACGTCTCCAACTGGAGACTTGCTTGTCGCGCGGCCGCACCCCAGGCCGAGTACCTCTTCTTCTACATACCGACCATCATCATCCTGGGCCTGGTGATCCCGGCGCGCCCCGCGCGTCCTGGCGAGCGGCCCTCGGGCGTTGCGCACACGCCGGACGCTGGAAGCACGTATTTGTTGTGGGTTCCCAGATCCCAGTCTGCTTCGAGCGCCTTCCCATTTCAAGAGTCGATCTGCCTCTACAGTGGTCTATTAACTATTCTCCGGGAGGGCCTAGAACCACCCTTTTTTGTCGTCCGCCTCTTTATTCCATGTTTTATGTATTTCTTCCGACCGACGTGTAGTGGGCGGGAGAGGACTGGGAGGGGCGAAGGAAGGTGCACCTTTTGCGCGCACCCTCGCGCCCCTCACGGGGCCCTCTGGGGGTCCCAGAAGGGGCACGAAAGGTCACCCCCTCTCAGCCCTCCCTCCCTCCCTTTTCTCCTCCTTTCTCCCCCTTCTCCTCCCCTCAGCCCTCCCCCTTCTCATCCCCTCAGCCCTCAGCTTTCCAGCGTGAGCTGTCGAACCATTGATGGCTTGAGCCAAACCGTATACGGATAGTCGAATAAACATTCAAACGTATCTCGAACATCTCTGATGGTTCTGAAGCCTCTTACCCCGAACTCATACACAATCTAACTAATTCCGATGCCTGTCCTTTACAGAACCGTAGGAAAACAAACATATAAGCGGAGCGTGGAGCGATCCACTACTGCTTTAAATCATACAGTTTGGCTCTAACTACATAGCTTCTGAAAGACATGCAACTATGCTTTTCTAACATGTATCGAGGAAGCTGGAGGTAGGACGAGTGAGGAGCAGCAAAACGCACAAGCAAACGCTCATTTCTCCTCATCACATGATATAATACATGTCTCTCGCGGGTAATCTCCCACGACTGCAACGCATGTCGTAGTAGACGTCGTAGTACAGCTACTCCTGCAGATTCTCGATCTCCTTCTCGGTAGCTTCCGGGTGTTGAACTGCTCTCTTGTGTCGCACTGCCTGGCCTTCGATGAGGGTGATCTTCCACTTGCCTGTAGTGCAGTATATCAGGAGCTGATCGAACCAACGCTCTTTCGTGAGACCGTCCGCGAGCATGATTCTGGTCGGAACGTGTAACAGTGAACGGATACGATGATGAACACGATCTTCACGAAGTGCCATGATGGCCACTCTCTGTGACTTGTCAAACGGTATACCGCGGCCGCCTGTGATCAGCTCGAAGAGGTCCATGCAATCTGTCACTGCATCATGCGGTATGATGGTGAGATCATTCTGACTCAGCTCCAGCATGCCGTGCGCGGTGATCGTCGTCCTCGGAGGTAGCACCATCTGGCAGAACAACTCCGTGAGCCTTGCCGCAATCAACTGGCCCATCTGAGTACAACCGATGGCCGATAGCGTCTCTGCATGCGAGGTCGAGTGCGAAACTCGTGAAGCCTTGCGTGCAGTGAAGAACAGCGTGTGCGCGTAGCCTCCGACCTTGGACAAGTGGGCGTGTCTATCTTGAGGTCGTCGTGCATCATCATGACAAACTTGCCCTCGTACGGGTAGCAACTCTTCTTGTCCGCATGCCCGCAGTCGTGAATACTGCAGAGCCTCAGTGGAAACGGTACTTGATGGTAGTGCAGGCCGTTCATGTCCTTCATCTTGCGAGCCCTCGCCAGTACACGATTGGCCATCTTCATGTGTTGAACCTGAGGGCACACCATCTCCGACTGCAGAGGAACCACATCATGAGCCACAGTAAACTGCCACAGTAAACTGCAAACCAACACTCTGAACTGGTAATGCTCGTACTCGTCCAGCTCCTGGAGGTCCTTCTTGGTGTTGCACGCGTTCGTGAACTTGGCCTCCGGTAGCTTTTCGAGGTAGTGCCGCTGGTGAACCAGCAGATGTCCCGGGGTGAGCATCTCGTGCCTCATGCCCAGGTAGGTGAACGGAAGGCCTGTCTCCTTCGGGTTCCCGAACTTTTGTCAGAGTTTCTTGGCGATATGGTCGAGGAAATCCTTCGTCGCTGCTAGAAGAAGATCGTCCACGTGAATGATATATAGCGATACAACTTGCCAGCCATTGGTGATCATCAGGAAGCACTCGTCGTGGGAGCTCATCCTGTAGCCAACGTCCACCTTTAAATAATGCAACATCGCCAGCTGCCACAACAGAGGAGCGTCCACCAGGCCATACAGCGCCTTGAGGCACTTCAGGATGAAGTGTGGAATATCTCCATCCAGCACGGTAATCTTTTTCTTCGGGATCTTCCTCCAGTGCCTCCAGATGTTCGCGGGCGGGCGAAACCAAACTTGTCGTGCCTCCTTGACCTCATGGCCTAGCTCCTTCGCTTTGGCCACGACCTCTGAGAACTTCAAGCCTTGAAGAAAAGTTGTTGAGATGTCGAAGCTCTCTAGGGTCAACTCGAACTGCGTGGCCAGTGAGCAAAGTAGCCCGTGGCTTAACCTTGAGGCTGTCGACGAATGGCGGCTGACTGTCGTCTTCTGGTGACCTAAGAATCCGCGACCGCAGCACCTCGACTTCGCACTTCGCTTCTGCCGATTCTTCCACTTGCGGACCCAGATGCCGTCCACGACGTTCGTAGCATTCGAGGACAGGTCGATCTTGAAGACATCGCGGCTGTAGAGTGATACTGCCTCCTCATAGTCGCCGAGTTCTACAACGCCCCAGTTGTCGATCACCTCTTGAGGCGCGAGGAGGTCGTCAGCAGAAACCGAGAACCACTGGTCCTCGCAAAGGTCGCAATAGAAACATGGGCCTCGCCATCGGCCCCTCAAGTACTGCAAGCGCCTCTGATGCTGTCCAGGGTAACTCGCCTCGCTTGGCCTGCTGACTGAAATGCAGGATCTGCTCGGCGTCGGCAATAGCATGTGTAAAATACTCCTCGTCGAAGCGAGGCGCGAAGCCAACTGGAGCCACATTGCGCAGAGGCTGTCCCAGTCGATGTTCCGCATGCTGCACATCAAACACCCCTGATAGCTGTGTAGCTCGAGCTTCTCCTGCTTGTCTTCGTCAGCCTTCTCGCTCGTTGCCGGGCCGTAGTCGATGGTCTCGTCGACGTCAGGGGAATCAGCGATGGGCAGGACTGGCTCTAGTGGAGCTGGTGCACCCGACGCTGCCGATGCCGCTGAGGCGCGAACTCCAGGCGCCACTCGATCATCAGGCGGAGCTTCTGGTGCATCTCGCTTCTGAGGCTGCGTTCTGGCTGCAATCCGCGATGCTGTAGGCCGATGCTTTAAAGGTTCTTGTCGGATTTGTCGGTCGTGCTCATCGTGCTGGGCTCGTGGATCTGGAGCAGGCCCATAGTCTCTCGTGCGAGACCTATCCAACGCTGATGTAGTTGGCGATGGCCCTTCGCGACTTATTCCCGGTAGAGGTATCTCCGGCAGGGGTCCTCAGATAGGCTCTTCTGGCTGGCCGTAGTCGAGTGTAGTCTGACTGGCTGGCGAGGGCGGCGTTGATGCCTCAGCCGCTGGAGGCGGCGCGGCAGCTCGCAGAGGCGTCGCTGAGACAGCCACCTCTGATCCGTTGGCCATTGGCTGTGGCGTCTTCGGAACGGCCACATCCTCACCCGGTACTGGTGCACGTCCTGAGGCTGCCTTCGGTGGAGGAGCCCGCTCGAATACTCTCGATCTTGACCGATCTGCCGTAGCTGATGAACTGCCTGACGATTCCGACAGCTTGACGATGTCAGCGTCTGCCTGGTCGTCGGGGTCGATCGCGCCTGGACTCGCAGGTGGTGCAGGCGGCGCAGGAGGTGCAGGCATGAACCCTGCGGCTGCTGCAGGTGGTGCTGCTGGAACAAACCCTTGCGGAACGGCGCCTGCTGCCCCTCCTCCTGGCGGCGGCGGCGGAGGCCGCATGGCGCCTGCCTCGACCTCGGGCGCGACGTCGAACGACGCGTCTGGAGATAGTGGCCTGCGCCTCGCTGGAGGAGGTGTCTTCGGCACATATGGCTGTGCTGCAGGCCTTGGCATCTGCTTCGCGACTGGAGCTGGCGGCGCTGGTTCACTTGGCGCCGGCCGCGCAGCAGGTGGAGCCTTCACTGATGGCTGAGGCTGCTGTTGCGGCTGAGGTGGCTGACCACCTGGCCTTGGAGGATCTCCGAGACCTCCTTGTTGACGATGGTCGTCTTCATCGTCGCCTGCCTCGAGCCAAGAACCTCCAAACGACGTCCACGGTGATGCTATCCGTGGAATGGGAGATGGACCGCCAACTCCACTGAGGTCAACTTCGGGCGCGTCCTCGATCTCGTCGTTCGGCTTGCTGCAGCTGAAATACAGCACGAAACTCTCGTCTTTCCAGGGGCCTGAAAACGAGAGCGGCAGCGCCTTGTCCGGCACCACCTCGCGGATCATGTAGCTCTCGCGTCGACTGTTGTTCCAGGTAATGAGCTGTCCGCGCCGCGCTGCTGAAATGGCATCAGTCCTCTTGCACTTGTTGCCGAACTGGACGCCGTCGAACTTCGCGCCGTTGAGCACTCCAGCGAAAACCTTCTGAGCCACTGTCCGCATCGGCGGAGCATTCTGCTCAAGACCAGGCGGCGCGACGATGTAGCTTCGATCCGCACTCGAATAGACCAGACCGTAGGTATATGACGAGAAGGCCGCTCCTGTCTCTACGATCTCCATCATCTGCTTGACCGCGTCGTTGAACTCGCGCTGTACGGCGTGGACACGGCCGCCGTGAGACTTCTGGTGCAAGAGCCACACGAAGCCCACGTGTGGGCGGAGGTGCCTGATGGGTACCAACGTGACATGGCCTCTCCAGTCGACCACTGCCTTTGAGCCGTCCTGGTAGACCTTGATGACCTCACAGGGTCCACGCCAGCCTGGATCGTCCTTGGAGTCTGGCTCGCGCCAGAGATCGGCCTTCTTACCGTCTATGATCTTCGCGCGGTCCTCGGGCTTGAACTTCTGCATCTTGGCGTTCTGGGCCACTGCCAGACGATCCTCGGCGATGCTCTTCAAGATCGCCTCCTTGGCCATCATGCGCAGGCGAATAGCCACCTCGATGGCGTCTGGAGCGGTCACGAGCGCCCCGGCAGCGGC